AAAAAACACCATTTCACCAGGCTGGATACTGGCCTGATTATGCTATCGCAACAGACAATTCAGCTTAAAAGAATACAAAATACGGGGTTAATTTGTTATCATTGCCTTGTCTGAAAACAATACATTGATACATACATACAGTTCTAACCAGTAATAAACTCAATAGAGATAGTCCATCCTTCAGAGAACCATAAAAAGCATTTCAGCTTTATCAAAAGATTAAAATTAGCCATAGAATACAGCAAATACAGCATTAGTGCTCTCCGGAGGTATTGACATGCACTTTGTATATATTGATAATAATAAGAACTGAAAGATTTTTGCATAGTAGACATTTTTCTCTTCCAGCAGTTTATATTAAAAATCACTTTATTAAGTGCATTGGGTAAAATGCCATTTTTAAGTCATTATTTGAGTAATACTTGCAGAAATTCATTACAGAACACAAAACTCAACATTATATAAACACATCTCCACCAAAACAAAGTGATAATTCAGTCAGCGCACAGGTGTTTATTTCATATGCAGTGAATTAACACAGGCAACGATAGCAATTATAGGTGTGTGCTTTACTATGAGCCCTATGAAAATGTTAATACGAACAGTGCAAATGTATTAAGACAGAAGATGATGTAAATGTCTGCTTGCATCCAAGGCGCTAAAAAAGGCATTTCTTTTAGATATGAAACGACAGCTCAGTGGTCGCCTATTGCCGTGGGGATTAGAAAAAACTGGGGTAATAATTTTCAATATTCAACAGATTGCCTGCATTCATTATAAAGAGGCACCCTTTGTGGTTCTGAATAGTGTTGTTAGCTTATTGATTGTGTCAGTCTATTCAGGTATGTTCTAAGCTGCCATCAAATTACATATTTGACCTTCAGTGACAATGGCCTTAATTTACATTGCTTAGTAATAGACTTATTAAAAACCTTCCAAAATCCAATTTGGGAAGCAGTTTGCAGTTGCTGCATCATTAGTATTGAAATGCATGTAAAGAGCTACCATCTGCTCAAAGTAGTTAAACCTTTGTCACACACAAATGCAAGACACGCTTCTCTCTCTCCAAATTATCATGGCTAGAAACCCAACAGATAGCATTTCTTTTTTTTTTCCGCATGTTGCACTATGAATACTAATTCTCTGTTGGTGTGGAGTCATGGGGTAAAATGCTGAAAGTTTAATCTTTGACTTACCAGAAGGCATGCATCTGACATTCAGCATTCAACAATGATGAATGATTCACAATGTACTTTAAGCAGTCGAAGAAGAGTCGAAGGTGTTGAAAGATTTTTGGGGGAAGATGCTTTTTTTAACTGTCGCAATTGCACTGTCATTCAAAATTCTCTAGAATACAGTACTTTCTGTCTTTACGTTCAAGACATTCTGCAAAAGTGAAAAGGGGCTGATTAACCATGACAGCTGCTTCATATGAATTCCCATTAATTAAACAGTAAGCAAAGGTCACGATACCAGGCCCGGATTGGCTAATCGGGAGGACCGGGAGAATTCCCGGTGGGCCGGTCCGTTTTTTGGCCGCGAGGTCCGGTGTCCCTAGCTCCAGAATCTGTTGCTCTCAGCAGTCACACTTTTTAAATGTATTTATTTACTTGACCACAGCCTTTTTATTCATTATTTCCTTTCTGTAATCACCTGTTGTGGTCCAGCGGTTAGCACTTCAGTCAATTACGCCGCGGACCCGGGTTTGATCCTTGACAGAGCAATTTATTGTTTTCATTTTTATTGTTAAGAAATATAATACTGTTAGGGTTGTTGAACATTTGAAGTTCTAAAGCAGCTGTTTTCTCAAAAAAAAAAAAAAAAAGACGTGATAGTGTCATTAGAAACAGATTTGGAAATGACTTTGTTTTAATATAGTCAGTTGTGAACTGAGGTGGGCCGGTCTAAGGCTTGAAACTCCAGAGCTGAAAAGGTGTCCCACTCCGGCCCTGCACAATACCATGGAAAGCCCAAGATCAGGCTATATGGTTTTATGTTGTGGTGTCCCATTTGGTTTAACTTTACAAATGTGATATACCTAAAGGAGCTATTTATATTGGCTAATCCTTTTTCTTTCTTTCTTTCTTTCTTTCTTTCTTTCTTTCTTTCTTTTTCTTTCTTTCTTTCTTTCTTTCTTTCTTTCTTTCTTTCTTTCTTTATTTATTGATTTATTGATTTATTAATTGATTGTCTTTTCTTTTTTTTTTCTTTTTCTGAGAGTTTGTACCCCCTGCAGGTCAAAAGGTCTATAAATAGGAAGGTGGCTGGTTGGAGGTGTGGCTGACTGGGAGTACACAGCTTTTTGACCTTGAGTTGGAGCATTTCGTTTGTTTTGCAGTCCAACTTGTATTTGTTTGTTTATCTAAATAATTATCTGTTTATTTATTTTTCTTTTTTTTTTTTGACTTTGTTGAATTCCTAAAGTTATATAAAGTTCAAGTTACATATACTTTTAGTCAAACAGCAATTCATTTTTATTTTACTGGAAATGACAGGCTTCTCCCAAAACATATTAAGGCAATGTACGAGAGGCATTATTATATTACACATAATCCTAATTCTATTTGTATACCCCTTCACCTTGGTCCTTGAAACAGAGTGAGAAGGGGAAGAGCTTCAAAATTTAACCCTAAGAAATGGGACAGCACAACAACACCTGCACATTTCATCATCGCGATCTCTTGCTTCATATGATATTGACGACCGAGAAAAACAAAAGATGATATTGACCACTGTCACTGCTGTAGTTATTACAGTTACGTTACTTTTTATGTTTATCTTCAAGAAATCACTGAAGGCATATATTATGTTATCATAATGATATAATTTGGCAATGAGATCGTAACTGTACTCTGCATTTACACCAGAGTCATATTCATGTGTTAATTGTGAAACCGGCGTAACAGTCTTTTATGTGGAGGTGCCTCATGCAGTGAGTTTTGCAAGTCGACAAAACAAAGTTTAAATAATATGATGGTGATCTTATTTAGAATAAGCATGGCTCCTGATAGAGTATTTGTATGAAGGAAACAGGAGGGATGATGATTCAGGGAGGGGGTCAAAGAAAACACACAACAGATTATTTTATGAAACATATTTTTGTATTCTATAGAATTGTCTAGAGAATTTTATTTAAATGAAATTAATATTTATGTAAAAAATTTCTTAAATTATCATAGCATCACTCTAATTGTGTCTTTAGATTGTTTTTCAGTTACATTAAGGATTCATTTCTGTTATTTATTTAGAATAATAGTTATATAATAACAATACTGTTATTTAGTTGTGTGTGTGTATGTTTTTATTTTTATACATATACATATATATATATATACATAATATATATATATATATATATATATATATATATATATATATATATATATATATATATATATATATATATATATATATATATAATTTTTTATAAAAGATATAGAATTATTTATATTATAGATATATTTTCTTTTTTTATTAATGAATTTATTTTTGAGGGGGAACTGTGCCCCAGTAGAGCTTTATGTCTAGCAACACCCCTGCTGACAGGGTATTCGAGTGTAATCGAGTGACAGAATGTTGTGGGACTGCTATCCAGGAGTTATTATTATGGATTATAGATCGCAAAATTTAGTGGGGTTTTAGTTTAGTGCGTTTCTAAAAAGCATGACGAAAATACACACACGGTTATAAATGTATTAAAACACATGTTTGTTTGTTGTAAAAATTTGTAATAATGATTTAAAAAATACAAATTTGTAGGTCTTCATATATATTTATTAAATATATGTATATAATGTACATCATGATGCTGAATGTTAGTGCATATTCATGGTTAATGTGTGTGTAGTATAATTTCATTAAATGCAATATAGCATATTGAAGAAAAAAAAAAGTAATTTCCTGCTATGTCACTGTAAATGTGTACATTTCTTTCGTTTGCTTACAGAAGATTACCAGACTGTTTTGTAGGTGTGATAACAGTCTTTAATCTAAAAGCCAATTCAGACTTCTGGTGAAAAAAATATAGTAGAAATATTTAAATGCAACAAAATAAATAAAAGATGGAAGTTGTAGCCTAAAGGTTTATATGTAAAAAACTGAATCAGCTTCTTTCTACATGTGGTAATTATACAGTGCTCAGCATATAAGTACACCCCTCACAAATTTTTAATACAAAGCTATAATATTTGAGACTATAAAGATTAGTCAGTATACTGAAGCAAAATCTGGAGCTTATCTAACAAAATTAAACTTATGATTACAGTCCAAAATCATATATGTTGTTATAGGAAAATACTAAATACTTATTTTAAGAAAGAGAAAAAATGCAAAAAAAAAAAAAAGTTTTGTTAAAATTGTGCAGGTTGTAATATATTTTATAATTGTTTCCTTGAATTTAATTGAATTATCTTTCAATTTCTAAATATGACTAAAATATTATTTTAATTAATAAATATGTTTAATAAATCGTTTTTGTTTTTGTGCACCAAAAAACACTGCCTATATTACTGAGAAATTGATAAAATGTTCATTTTCAAAATGGGGTGTACTCAATTATGCTGAGCACTGCAACAGTGTTAACAGTTTAATCATGCAAAGTTCTGTAAACAATTCTTCCAAATTAGCATTATTATTTATCATTATTACAATTGGTCAGTGAAAACATTGACATTTTGTTGTGAATAAGTTATAAATGTTGTAAACAAGCACCTTAATGCAAAAACAAAGAAATGCCATAAGTAGTTTACAGAATAAACAAATCCAGAAAATCTGACCATTTTTAAGTGGTATTTGTTTTCCATAGCTGTAATGTGGGTCCTGTATAGTCATGTAAATAAAGAGAGTAAATAAAAATTAATCTTAAAAATTAATTATGTGTAACAATGAAATATAAACTCATAAAAACAATTATACGACGTTCTTTTAATCTTATTCTTATAATATTCTTCTTCATACCCGCATTACAGGTTAGCACAGCCTGAAACAGACTGTCGCCACAGTTATAGCGTCCCGTTGCCATAGAAACGACCTGCCGCTGCACTTGCTTGTGTTTTTTCTCTCTAGCTAACCAGCTAACGTTAACTATCTGTCTAAATTAGTAAGTAAAGAAGCGCTTTTACAACTTCTTCAAGACTCTACAGATCTAACATAGACGACTGATGTTCGTATTGCTGGATGAACGTGGTTAAAATGTTTTGCGCTCGTCCATGCAGCAAATAATAGCTGATGTGGTTTGTATAACCGTCATTGTGTGCAACAGTGGCTATGAATCATCTTTTGCTCGATCTGAATACGACAGAAATAAAGTGACCTTCACTATTCAAACTAAATCTTTTGAAGCATGTTCAGGAACGATTACCAGGTAGGCTAAAGTAAGCACAGAACACATTCATTAACAGGCACTTCTTCTTTTCGGTGTTTTCATAGTGTGTGTGCGTGCGCGCACGCGTGCGTGTGTGTGTGTAGGGTGGTCTCACGGTTGACATCTTCAGTGCACAAGGAAAAGATCCTGTGGCAAAATGGAAACTATATGGCCGGAAACCTTCAATAACTAAAGTATGTGTGTTTCAATAATGACAGCTTTTTGCATTAACGAAAAAGGAAATTGTTTTCAACTCAGAAAATAAATGCAAAATATTTCGACATAAATGTCAATGTAATTATATGTGCTGTGCATATTTTACTCTACCTTAAAAAGCAGTTTAAAAAAAGTCAACATGTGTTCTGTGAAGCGTATCCTTTTTTTCCTGAGAAATAATGGTGAAATTTATTTAGTTATTTATTTTTGCAAGACTCTGAGGCATATCCCTAAAGTTGGCCTTCATAAAAAGAAAAGAAAAGAAGAGTATTCACTGGAGGAAAAAAGGCATCATTTCATACAGATGTTGTTTGCGTGGCAGAGTCTCTCCTGTAAATAATCTCAGAGTGAATTGGAGAATGGTCTTCATTTTATATAAGATAACACAAGTAGCAGCACTAAACCAATGCCACAAAAGCACCCAGTATATTGCTTGTATCTTCGACAATAAAGAATCTGCAGAAATCCATCAGCCTTCTGAAAAGGAGGAATATTACTTTTTATTGATTATTTTCTGTACTTTAACAGGTGTTTGATAAAGAAGTGAAGGGTTTCGTGTACAGTCTTGAAGGCAACAGTCAAACACACAAGATGCAGTTACCTAAGGACAGCAAGATGACTCGTGAGTGCTGTTTAAACAGAATAAATCAGACACATCACAGGGCTCTTGGGCTTCGAGGTTCTTCAATGTCATCTGCGGGTCCATTACAATGTTTTAACATATAAGAAACCTTTACCTTGGACAAAGGTTTTAAAGAGGACATTAAACAGAACTATTACTATTTTAGATTTTTTAACAAAACTTTATGCATAAACACAACTACCAAACACATATTATTAGCACTTTTATAGTTGGTTATTTGTGTTACTGCAATAATCAACATTGTAAAAAAAACCTGTAAATTAATTTGTGTTTTTTTAATGCTTTTGAATTGCATTATAAAACCATAATCTTTTGTTGAAGTTGAAAAGTAAAAAAAAAAGTGACTTGTATTGACCTTATTAATGGCGATATATTGTCTGGGTTGGTGTTGTAAATTATTAGTAAACTAAAAGTACCGTTTCTGTTATTTTACAGAATATATTATAGATATTATTATGAATGAAAGGTTAATCACGAAGAACTGAACCTGTTAATTAAAAGTCCGCCCAAGAACTCCTTGGCTCGATACTCTCAAATCTGATACCAACATGAGCATGCGCAAATTCAAAGAAGTGTTCATTAATAGAACTGTGCGGAGAGCATTGATTCCATAGAATGACCAAAAATCGACCTTGATTGAACAAATAAGTGAATTAAAATAAAATTCTATAACATAAGAAGCTAAATACAGACATCTAAAAATACGGAGGATCTTAAAATAAATTATCTTGAAGTAAAATTTGTAGCTACAATCTATATTTCAAATATTAAAATTATATTTTTTGTTAGTTATTAAAAAAACAATATACTTATAAGACTTTCTCCTGAAGAAAAAATATTATCAGACATACTGTGAAAATTTCCCTTGTTAAACATCATTTAATGATAATAATGCGAAATATTTAAAAGAGAAAAACTATTCAAAGAGGGTTTAATAATTCTGATTGCAATTGTGTGCGTATGTGGTTCGAGCCTTAGCTGGGTCAGTTGGCATTTCTGTGTGGAGTTTGCATGTTCTCCCTGCGTTTGTGTGGGTTTCCTCCGCATGCTCCGGTTTCCCTCACAGTCCAAAAATATGCGGTACAAGTGAATTGGGTAGACTAAAATGTCCGTAGTGTATGTGTGTGAATGAGTATATATGGATGTTTCCCAGAGATCAGTTGTAACTGAAAGGGCATCCATTGCATAATACAAATGCTGGATACATTGGCAGTTCATTCCACTGTGGCGACCCCAGATTATTAAAGGGACCAAGCCAAAAAGAATATGTATATAAAGACAAATCCAATTGATTAGTCAATCACAAAAACATGTTGCTGGATGTAGATTGATGGACTAATCACCATTTATAGATTTCTGTTTATGTAGATTTATAGATGTCTGATGTCTGTATATCTCTTTCGCATCCTCTAATCTCATGCTTTTTGTTCCTACAGTTGGTCTGATTCAGAAGTTTCTGATTCTACAGGTCAACATACCATTGGGAAAAGACTTTTCAGCTGAGTTTCTGTAAGTGCCACCATTGTTTTAATTAATTTAAATTAGCCTCATTGTTAAAAGTTTCCATCCGACCTCAAGCTACTGAAATCTTGATGAGCTGCTATAGCGTAGTTGACATTCAGAGAAAGTGTAGAGAATTTATTACCATAGAGGGTGAATTAATTCACACGTTCACGCATGCAGATGCCACTCCTACACCTTCCTCTACACATACACACATATACAAGAACATGGTTAAAAATCTTTCTGTCTGCTTCATAGAGAAAGCTTTTAGTTATCTTTTCAATGCTGTCTTCTAGAGTGACTGATGAGGAGCATCTAAAGAGGAGACTCTACTTGTCGACTGTTCATAAAGAGCTCTCTGCAACTCCTTTGCATGCGAGAATACCTCTAACATGCCACAACCGCGATACTGTAAGTCTAGATGAACATCAACAACAGTGGAGATCAAAATCAGAGAAACACCTGCATATGGTTCCTTCACTAGGTTCATCACCCAATCAGACATTCATTTTTTTTTATGCAGGGCAATGAACCCTGTCACACAGTAAAATGTGTAAAGCAGTTTCTTAAAGCTGAAAACATTAAAATATTGAAATGGCATTTCAGAGTCCTGTTATGAACCTTAATGAAAATATCTGGATGTGTGTGAGAGATTAGTGATGCCTTGTAAGAGACTAGTGATATCTGTGAGAGACTAGGCTGCGTTCCAGTCCAATTGTTTAGGGCCTTCACCCTCTAACTTCCCTCCATCTTGTCCCCTCAGATGTACGCCATTGATTACGTCACATAAGTGTCCACTGCTGGCAAATATCTGAATGTTTATCAATGGAATGCCCCAACCCCTTGAGCACTTGGGAAATACAATGTTGTGACATCACAATCGCATCGTATTCTGGGACATATAAGTGCTGGAGTGGACAAATGAAGCTGATTCACTCCCTTGGTAGAAACTAGTGATGTCTGTGAGAGGCTATGTCTGTAACTGCTATAACCTTCAGAAATTTCAGTTGTAATCTGTCTCTGGAGTGCTTTGGTAATTCTGAACCCTTAATTGCTGCTTGCAGCTAACATTCATATAATTTATGAATTTGCTCTTCAGTGTTTGGACTCTCAGTAATGATTTCAAACCACACTGAACTGAGCTAAACTGAACTGAACTTAAACAGTAAAAACTAAACTACCCTGATCCAGTTACTATGACCATTTATGTGAAGCTGCTTTGACACAATCTACATCGTAAAAACGCTATACAAATAAAGATGAATTGAATTGAATTGAATTTTAGTTGTACATTTTGTTTGTTTTACAGTCCTTACTGTTTTATAAATATTATAAAATATATATACAGTTGAAGTCAGAATTATTAGCCCTCCTGAATTAATAGCACCCAGTATATTTTTCCTCCATTTTCCTTTTAACCGAAAGATTTTTTTCAACACATTTCTGAACATAATAGTTTTAATAATCTCTAATAACTGATTTCTTTTTTTTTGCCATATTTTTTGCTATGATGACAGTAAATAATATGTTACCAGATAATTTCCAGCACACTATAGTATTCAGCCTAAAGTGCAGTTTAAAGGTTTAACTAGGTTAATTAGGCAAGTTAGGTGATAAGGCAAATCGTTTTATAACAGTGTTCTGTTCTGGTATAGACAATTGAAAAAAAAATGCTTAAGTGGGTCAATAATATTGACCTTAAAATGGCTTTAAAAAATTAAAAACTGCTTTTATTTTAGACAAAATAAAACAATTATGGCTTTCAGAAGAAACAATATTATTGGAAAAATTAATTAATATTTAAAATAGAAAAGAAAAATCACTGTATATATATCAACTGTACATATAAATATATATATTTTTTATAAATATTTTTTTAATTTAATTTTATTATTATTATTTTTTATTTTGTTATTTTATAAAACACTTAGCATAGTAAGTAAGTCCCAACTAAAAAAATCAAATTTGGAATGATGAAGATTATATTATTTCTGTTTATGAATTTTTCTCTTTTTTGATCTCCTCTGTACAGTGTACAGTATGTAGTCTGCATATGAGCAGCTCGGAGACATACTTTGTGAAATGACCACAAAAATAAGCCAAAACTTTTGTTGTTAAGGTGTGATAAGGTAGTAGTTTCTGTGTGCAGTGGTGTAATCTGTGTATCGATCTGGACTCGCTCACCGCTGTGATATTCAGAGGGACGCGCTTCTTGTCTCTGGATGGCATCATCATCTCCGCCTGCTGTAAAGTTCGCCGCATCTTCACCATGAAGAATGAACCTGCAGACTTCACAGATCGAGGTTAGGGGAAAATTGGTCCTGCAATGTGTGGGCCACTTTTTAAAACAACTATTCTACATAAAATGGTTATTTTCATGAATAGGGTACACTTTAGTCTCACATTACTTTAATTAGAGCATTAGAGGCTTGTTTTTAGTGAGGTAATTAGATTTGTTAGATAAACTATGATCTAATATTAGAAACATAATATTTGGCTGCAGCCTACTTTTTATGCAAACTGTTACTTTGTGATTGTGCTTTTATTAATAATAATTAAAAAAATGTAATCAGCAAATCCATAAAATTGTGTTTTAAAAAATAATAATTTTGTATTACAACCAACCTAATGTTTAGCCGTGTCCCACATTTTGTGTGCAAACCTGTTACTGCATGATTTTCTCCCTTTAGAAATGTAGAAATAAATTAATAAATCCATAAAATTGTTACTCCTTAGAAAGAAAGTCATTTTCTGCAGCATGGTAAATGAAAAAATCTCATTTCATTTTCTCAAAGATTGTATTATTGACTGCATTTGTCAAGCTCAGCCATTCAAACCTGTAGTTACTAAATGAAAAAAAAAAAAAAAATCAGGATTTTGCCATATTTTTTTGTATTACCATAAATGTAATGTTTAGCAGTGCCCTACATTTTGTGTGCAAACATATGACTGTGTGATATTGCTCCTGTTACAAAAAAAAGAATAATAATTTTTTTTATGAACTGGGATTCCTAAGAAATAAAATCATTTGCTGCAGCACGATAAAGGCAAAAATCCCATTACATTTGCTCAGACTGTAATATTGACTGCATTTATCAAGCTCAGCCAAAATGGTAGTTATTGTATATATTTTTTATAATTTATATATATTATTGCTTATTGAAAAAAATAATTGCTTTATAAAAACAAAACAAATAATAAGCTAAATAATAAGCAATATGAAAAAAGAACAATCCATTTAAAACACTTAATATTAAAATAACATAATATCATATAATATCATATTTAAAGAATGTATTTATATTATGTTATAAAATAATATATGTTTAGTATTGATGATATCATTTTTGTAAATTCTTATCTTATAAAGTTATCTAATATTTATTTGTACTGTATTACATACTGTTTAACTGTAAAAACACTGACAACAAACTTCACATCGAACACAAAAGCTTATATAATATTTTGTTTTACCCTGGTTGAAAGTCTAAAAGTTAAGCACCTACTTTCACTGACCCCATGTAGAAGTAGATCAACAATTCACAGAAGGTGCCTCAATATTTTATTTTTGACATTTTAGCCTAGAAGTTTCTTGACTTGGTGAAGCACCTTCCTGACACTCTTTTTCGTTGCCTGAAAACATTGTACTTTTCATATTTTAGAAATAAGAACTGGTCCAAAAGAAGAGATTCCCAGGAGCTGCCAGTTTCCTTGTGAAGTTCAGCATGTCAGCCAACTGGTGAACATGAAAACTCTGGGACAAACTGATGGAAAAAGTGAATCTTCAAATGGAGAGACCGGTCAGTCCACATTCTAGTATTCCATTTCTTTTTTTTTTTAGTCTTGTGAGTTTAGTCTTCAGTCCTGTGTAAAAGTTTTTGTTGACTAGAAATCCTCAGTTATTTGAGAAATTACATAATTATTGCACTTTACCATAGGCAAAAATCTTGAGAACGTGAAGTTAAATTGTACTTTACCATGTTTATATTCTAAATTAACAAAACATAACAAAACATATAAAATCAAAACACATTCGATATTATGAAAACTAATAAAACTCAAAGGTTGAATATGTGAATAATTTCTAGTTTTTAAATATGAACAGCAATAATTAATTAATTAATTTTCTTTTCGGCTTAGTCCGATTATTAATCTACGGTCACCACAGCGGAACGAACCACCAACTTATCCAACATTTGTTTTACACAGCAGTTACCCTTCCAGCTGCAACCCATCTCTGGGAAACATCCATGCACATTTATTCAAACTCATACCCTATGGACAATTTAGCTTACTAAATTGTGGGGGAAACCAGAGCACCTGGAGGAAACCCATGCGGACACAGGGAGAACATGCAAACTCCACACAGAAATGCCAACTGACCCAGCTGAGGCTCAAACCAGCGACCTTCTTGCTGTGAGGCGACAGCACTACCTACTGTGCCACTGCATCACCTTTAATAGCGATGATCCCAAATTATATTCATCAACTAGAGTTTATGGTACAAAGATTGTCTAAATTCATTTATTCAACAACCACAATCACAATAAATAAATGCATAAATAACCAAAACAAACGAATTAATAAATAAATAAAAATAAATAAATAAATAAATAGCAAAAAAATATATATTAGTGTTTGGATTTATGACAGGTTTTCAAATATTTAGTATGCAAATGAGGGCAGTAATTAATAATGACAAAACATAATATATCTGTATTTTTGTGAATTTCTATTATTATGTGTTTTTATTGTGCCAGTTTAGTAATGCATGAAATCTCTTTTTTAATAAGTGATTTATTGAATCGTTTGTTTACATGACTGAATCACTGAATCGTTGACTCAAATGACTCTAATCATTAATTGTGTAAACGAAGCACAGCAGTGGTGGGACACACAAATGGTATGCTCTGGCTTTGTTTGGAAGTATTATCATTAGCGATACAGAAAAGTAGATGTGTCTATAATATATAATAACTTGCCTGATATTAATATTACTTGTTAAACTGTTGTATACAATCAAATTTGCTCTGATATTTGGGGAAAATGCCACACTTTTGTGTCATGATACTACTACACACTGCTATATTTCCCATATTACAACTATATATCATATTACAATATTTAAAAGAAAATGACTTTCATAAATCAAATTCAACTTTTATTTGTGACATACAGAGTGATACACAGTATGATATGCAGTGAAATGCTTACACAACCACTCATGGCCTTAAAATAATAACAAAAAATATATAATAATAACAGTAGAATATAAATTGTGGAGAAATAGAAGTTATGCAATAGAAACTAAAAGCAAATATTAAAATATTCAAAGACTGTCTATGGCAGCCTAAAGATGTCTCTCATATGTAGAATGAAATTACATGCATTGCTCAGGTGTGAGTGTTTCCACAGACTTCAACAGAGAGTAAAAACTTCATGGTTCTGTGGGTTTTGTCTTTCCAAACTGGTCTTTATTTGTATTCTCTATTGGACTCAAATCAGGTGATTGGGTGGGCCATTCTACAGCTTGATTTTCTTTCTCTGAAACAATTTGAGAGTTTCCTTGACTGTTTTGGATCATTGTCTTGCTGAAATGTCCACTATGGTTTTATCTTAATCATCATGATAATGTAGGTGTTGGACTGAAGCAGCTAATATGAATTTACACTGACGAAGGGCAGAGAGTTGCTGAAAAACTACTGGGAGATTTTAGCTGCTGTCTGGGCTTTCACTGCCCTTTTATAGCTCCCTTTTGTCATTTGTTCAAAACTGTTTTCCTGTGTCATTTCATTTTATTACTGTAACGACGGGGGTGACACACACAACTGGAGGTAAGATCCAATATGCAGGTTTATTCAATGTCAAGCAAGCAATGGTCAAATCCAACCCAAGCTCATTCTGGAAACATAGCCCCGTGGACGTTTCTTGAGACCGCAATTTACGTGACCGGAGGTACGTACGGACACGTTTAGTTTTTAGTTTTGTTTTTGGTGTGGCGCCACTCCGCTCCTCCTCTTCGCGCTCGGCGGCCGACGGCTCGCCTCCGAGTGGAGGGCTTTCCCGATGCAACCAGTTTGTCCGCTTAGCTTACAGCGTTGCATCGGCGGAGCGGAGGCCCCGGAGGAGGAGCTGGCCGAGGGGACGACGACCGGGATCAAGTCCGGGGAACAGCGGTTCCAGAAATCAGGTAAGACGAAAAACGGAATCCGAAAAATAAGGGCGGGAACGCGGCGGGATCCGAAAATTTGGTCATAATCGAAGACGAGGGCTTTTGCTTTTTTTTCTTTTTTTCTGAACGGCTTTTGCAAACCGTCGCTCGGGTTTAGGGAAGAAGGAGGAGGAGGAGGGTGGCCGGGTCGGTTCTTTCGCGCGAGAACAGCGCGGGCGCGAACGGCGCACGCTCCCGAGAGACGCCCGAGATGCGAAGAAGCGCGCACAGCGGCCTTTCGCGGATCCGTGAAAACAAAAAACGCTCGAATACGTATAACGGATAAACAAGGCTAAGGTCTAAACACGGGAAACAAGACAAGGAGAAACACGTTGTAATGTCACTGATAGCAAACAAGACTCGGCCCACTGGAAAGGTGAATGAGTGGCTTAAGTAATGAGTGCAATCAGTCTCTGACAAGGCTCAGGTGGTGAGAATGTAATCAGTCTACATGAGTGAGCATGTGTGAGTGTGAACGGAGAGCATGTATGAATATGTAGTCCAAGAGAAGGCGGAAGTGTAGTCCATGGATATTGTGTGAGAACCAGCGATCTCTGGAGAATGATCGCTGGTTATCTTGACAATTACACACAACTTGATTTGTAAACTATTTAGATTTGTTTTCTTTGCATACATGAATTTTTTGGATGTTTTCAAAATTGCAAGTAAACGGCACCTAAATATGTTTTTTGAGAAAAATGATGACATGTCGAGTACTTACTTCCCCAACTGTAAAAGCATAAAATATATAACAGAGATATCTGTATAAACAAAAACATAGTAGTGTTTCTAACAAAGTGCCTGGTGGATACAAGAGGAAAAAGTGTATCCTATATCTTAAATTATAGGTTCATCCTAACTGCATTCTACTTTGAGATGTTTTTTACCATTTTCTATAAAGAACAATTGCGATATTATCACAGACTATAAATGCAGCACACTCCAAATTCAACTGCTTTACTCTTCGACATTGATTTCTATTAATAGTCTTACAATTCTTTTTGAGTGTCTAACTGAACGGAGTCATAAAGTTCAGTGCTTTTCTCCAGTTCTTTGCTAAACAGAAGGTCAGACCCCTCAGCACAAGTCTCCTGCTATTTGCTGTCTGTTAGTTTGCTGACAAGAGACACCTCTTGCCAAGAGAGCTCTAATCATCTCTCTTTAGTCACATACCTGTCCACCGTGCCAGCCCAGTGAGACCTTCATAGCTGTTCTTACGCTTTTTATTTATCCAGACATCTGTTGGCCTCATCTCATAGTGCCAGACTGCTGTCATCTCACTGTAAGCTTCACCAAAAAACACTCAAACATTGTCCTAGCGATATATAAATACAAAGAAGAGGTCAATCACTAACAAGAAGTGTTGGACGGTAATGAGATCACATAAATGTTTCTACATATGCACATATTGCACCAAAAGACGCAGTGTCTCGTTCTATATTAATCATTTTTTATCCTCGGTTTCATCACCTAGCAACAGTGTATCAAAACACTGTGTGTGTGTGTATGAAACTGTAGCTTTCAGCCTTGGATCCTGAGCTGGCTGTTATACTGAAATGACAAATGGCAGTATTTTGTGTTTTGTTTCCAGGTTGCCATGACCTTAACACTGCTTCATCTTGCGGCATCGCGCTAAATAACAATTGAAAATATGCCAGTTCCAAACCAACAGATGGCAAGGGCCTCATGATTGCAAGGATTATGAATTTGAAAGCAGTCGCTTTGTAATAGAGAATGTCGTGATATTGTTAGTCTAAATTCAAATGATATTGCTTGAGTGATTTAACACTTAATCGCTTTGTTTGGCACTTTGAATCGGGCCACAACAAACTTTACCTCTGAATAGAAATCCTGCTTGACTTATTTTAAAGTTAAGGACGTTACAAAAGCAAACTATTCATGAATGTTCGCCTATCTCCTGATGCATTTTAATGTAATGCCTGGCTTATAAAATAAATAATTCCATAAATTGATTCAGTGAAGAAGTTGAAAGATTGCTTTTTTGTGACCTAGAATGTTGGACAGGACTCTCAGTCCGATTTGAGCACCAGAAAGAACTATTTTATAAAATACAACAGGGAAAATAAGTATTGAACACATAATTTTTTTTCCTGGAAATAATATTTCTAAAGGAGCTGTTGACATGGAATTGAACCAGATTTTGGTAAAAACCCAAACAATACAAAAATAAAAATAAAACAAGACCAAAAACAATCTGAAAAATGGGTTATGTGTAATAACAATGGAACGACACAAGTAAAGTACTAAAATACTGAAACATATTTATTACTTTATATAAAAGGCTGTTTTGAGAGTGTAGGCTCATACATTGCTCAGGTGTGAGTTTTTCAACAGAGTGTAAAAATCTTGATTGGTTCTGAGGGTCTTGTCTATCAAATCTGATCTTTATTTTGTATTTTCTATTGAATTCAAGTCAGGTGATTGGCTGGGCCATTCTACAGCTTGATTTTCTTTCTCTGAAAGCATTTGAGAGTTTCCCTGGCTGTGTTTTGGATCATTTTCTTGCTGAAACGTCCAGCCTGGTTTCATCTTAATCATCCTGATAATGTAGGTGTTGGACTGAACCAGCTAATATTAATTTACACTAACGAAGGGATGAGGGTTGCTGAATAACTACTGAGAGATTTTGGCTGCTGTCTGGGCTTTCACTGCCTTTTTATACCTCCCTTTCTTCATGTGTTCAATACAATTTCCCTGCGTCGTTTCTTTTTATTACGCGTAACTTCATTTGTAACCTAACTAGATTTGTTTTTTGTGCATATATGTATTTCTTTGGTTGTTAAAATCAGGTGACAATTTTAAGTCAACAGCACCTATGTGTTCAATACTTCAATACTTTCCCCGCTGTATAATACAGTGCTCTTAGTGAATTGTATTCAAACCCAAACTAATAAAAAAATAAATAAAAGAAACACAGTTGCTCATGTTTATGTGGCTAAAAAGTAACACAAAACTTTATAAATCAGTGAGGTAATTAATTAAATGCAAATAAATATTAGTTTTATTGTGCTATTTAAAGTCTTCATTTTATGAACAAACTCTGTATGTGGAGCAAAACATACTGTATAATGTAAAGATGTACAGTTGAAAAATGATTAGCTATCCTGTTAAATTTTTATTATTATTTAATATTCCAAGTGCTGCTTAAAGAAGAAACTTTTTTTAACACATTGTTAAACATAATAGTTTTAATAATTAATTTCTAATAACTCATTTCTTTTGTCTTTGTAATGATGACAGAGTTTTGACAAGTTTTTTTTGCAAGATACTAATTTTAAGCTTAAAATGCATTTTAACCCTTTAATTGCCTGCTCTATACCAAGTGGTTGACAATATTTTCACTGTTCTAAATATAATGACTGTTAAAGTTATTTAAAGAATGACTGTTTCAATAATGGCTCACACACGCAGCATTGTTGGTTTACAAGAAAATTCAACAAACATATTCCTGTTGCACTAATGCACATAATTTTGGCTTTATTGTAAAAACAACAACAACAACAACAACAACAACAAAAGAACATTTAAAAGCAAACAAACAAAAAAAAAAACATGTTAATTGAGAATCTGAAATATTTTATGACCTGCTTCAAAAAATAAATAGGATTTAGTGTTCAAAAATGTTTTCTTTTTAATATTTTTTAAAATAAATTGGTCTTACACATCATATTTTCATATTTTTCTTATCAGATGTATTTATTCCAGTATTTTTAACTTGTTTTAATATGTTTTAACATGTTTTCTTTTAATGATTTCTTTTACTTGTTTTCTCTTATTGTAAAGCACTTTATGACTTAATGTCTGGGAAATGTGCTATGTAAATAAACCTTTACATACTTACCTACCTTTACTTACCCTTACCATAAACCGACATATCAACCATTTGGTAGAGGTTGATATTTTAGAAATTATGGGATGTGTTGACAAACAAACTGTGTTGTTAACTAGTGGCATTAGGAGTTAAGAAATGCAATCCATTTTTTTTCTTGGTGGGGCAATTAAAGGGTTAAATGCTTAACTAATTATGTTAACTAGGCAAGTTGGTTTATTAAGTCACTGGATAACAATAAAAAAAAATAATAATTTCTTACGGGTTTTAATAATTACTAATTATTTTTAAAAATAAATAAAAGCTGATTTTATTCCAGCTAAATTAAAAGAAACAAGCCGAACTCTATAATAGGACATACTGTGGAAAAGTCTTTCAAAAAAGAATTTGAAAAAGAATAAAACATTTCATTACATTTTACAGTAACTCTTTAGAATAATGATCCATTAGTCAATGTATTAACTAACTTAATTTGAGTAATCTTGTAAAGCATTGAATAATCATAGTTCAACATTTACTAAGGCGTTGTTAAATTCCAAAGTTGTGCTTGTTAACATTAGTTATTGAGCTTTTAACATGAAGTAACATGAATAAATACCATAGTTAATGCATAACTAATTGTTTGTTCATCTTAATAAATACATAAACTAATGGAATATTATTTTAAAGCGTTACCAAATTAACTGTATACAGGCAACAAATAAACTACCCTCAGAAAACATTTTGTTAACTAATGTATGTTAATGAAGTAAAGCTTTCGTAAGTGTTTTGTATGTATGTGTTCTAGAAGACACCAGTGGCATCAAGGCATCCATCACCAAAGGTCCTACACCTCGAGACTCATCCCATATTGCTTTCGGGTCTAAGGTTATCGGACCTCCTCCGCTTACCGCCAGGAAGAGCAGCACATCTGCAAACACAAAAGAAGAAAGATTCAAGTCTGAACTAAGTCTCAACATACCGTCAGGTAAACACACATACAAAAAGTTTCTTGACAACCCTTGCTGTTCTTCTAAACTTGCTCTGAATAGGATTGAGTCTGGTGATTACTGCATTGGTGAGTGCTAGCTAGTCTCTGCTACAGTAAAAAAATCATTAAGAGTACACTGAGAAGTTGATATTTGTAGAGTGGGAAATGAATATTTTAGTGCTGTATTACTGTATGTTTCCAAATATAGGTCGAAGTGAAAAAGTACAGCCAAGACCACCACTCGAAAAACCATCTGCTGAACGAACGAGCTCTAGGAGACCTCAGAGGATCCACAATACGAAGAGAGAAAAATCCTGCACAGGTGCCTTTAATATATTAGATTATACAGACTTTTGGGGTTGGTTCCATTTTTTTAAGGAAAGGAAGTCTCTTATGCTCACCACTGCTGCACTGATTTGATCACAAATACTGAAATTTATAATAACTGCTTTAAAGTGTCATTTATTTATGTGGTGGCTGAATTTTATTGTTACTGTTAATCTTTAATTTAATTATTATCATTTTTATAAAAGATGAAACCATGGTCATTTTTTTCAGGATTCTTTGATCAATAGGAAGTTCAAACATTAGTCAAAATAGAAAATATGTGATTTGATTAAATTAGCGTGTGCTTGCTGAATAAAAGCTTCATTTCTGTACAAAAAATAGCCCAATTTTCTGAACGAGATATATATAAAGGAGGGGATTGAATTATACAAATTATACAAATTTTTTTAGCTTTAAGTGGCATTTAGAAGACCACTTTTCAAGTTGCTCTGTGTTGATATTTTGCATTTGCCATTTAAAGTCAGAACTAGTTTCTTAGAAATGTTAATCAGACAGATGATACCTTCTCTAGAGATTCATTCCACAAATTCTCTTGAAATTAGTTCCTTGTTGACTTTTGAAGTCTGCTGCAAACTACAAAGTCACTGTATTTTATTTTGGTCTCATATGTACTCTCTAAGATAAAGAAGGTGGCAAAATTAGCCTGAACCCAGAGGGATCTGAGCTTCAAGGAAAAAATGCAGTATCGTCACTACAAACTCTGGGCTTGGACTTAACGGTAGAAGATAAATTAACTGATCCGATTCTACAAGGTGAGTAATTATGTTCCTTCTATGTTATAGTGGGCACTTAAACTGCTGGTCTGACCTCACACCTCAATCAGGTGTGCAAATCTTGCTGGTCATTCTCGCTATGGCAACCATCTTAACTTTTAGTATTACAAGTATATTAAAACCACAGTAACACAGTTAAAGTTAAGTCACAAGAAATCATTCAAAAATGCTTATTTAGTGCACTTTTTAAAGAAATGCTGTATTATTTCAACCCAAAGTTCTATAAAATATGGAGAAACTCAATGGTTGGGCAACAACTCAGCATTTTTAGAGTGTAAGTAATTAGCATTATTATACAAGTTGAAAACTGTATATTTTAGTAGATATATTTTCAATATTTTAGTGGAAACCATAATACATTGAAGATTCTTTAATAAACAACCATCAAGAACACTCTTAATACTGTATTGTGAAATCCTAGCAACAGCTCCAACATAATAAAACAAGTTTTAAACTTACGTGATTTAAAATGATACAGAAAATGTATTCATTCATTCATTCATTCTGCTTCGGCTTAGTTTCTTTATTCATCAGGGGTCGTCACAGCAGAATGAACCGCTATCTTATCCAGCATATGTTTTACCCAGAAATTCCAACTGACCCAGCCAGGACTTAAACCAGCAACCTTCTTGCTGTGAGGCAACAGTGCCTACCACTGAGCTGCCATGTTGGTAAAAAAGTGAATTAATAATATTTGTTTAAACTATAATTTACCATGCTATAAAGAGTATTTTTTACGGAGAAGCAAAGCCATGCTGTCATGTGTGTCTTTTTAAATGCAAATGAGCTACTGCTGCCTGCCTCTTTCTTTAAGAGGGTGGAGCTTTTATGACTCATGCTTTGGTAACTTTGACAGCAACAAACGAAATGTCTGCATGTGGTTTAAAGCTTTGTTGGGTTAAACTACTGATATTCAGTACGGCTTTATGATCACACGTTCATTCATTCATTCATTCATTCATTCATTTTTTTTCCGGCTTAGTCCGCTTATTAATCAGGTGTCGCCACAGCGGAATGAACCGCCAACTTATCCAGCACATGTTTTAGGCAGAGGATGCCCTTCCAGCCGCAAACCAACACTGGGAAACACCGATACACTCTTGCACACACCCACATACACTATGGCTAATTAGCTTATTCAATTCACCTGTACCGCATGTCTTTGGACTGTGAGGGAAACCCGGAGGAAATCCACGCTTACACAGGGAGAACATGCAAACTCCTCACATAAACAGCAACTGACTCAGCCGGGGCTCAATCAGAAACCTTCTTGCTGTGAGGCGATTGTGCAACCCAATGCGCCATCGTGCTGACCCCATCTGATCACACTGTCACACCCTTTTTGTGTTTAAAAGACATCTAATAGATGTAAACATAGTTGTTTTGGCTTAAATTTGGCAAAACTATTCAGCCCATGAACCCCAAAATAACAATTCCAAAGACTCGCGACCCCCACTATCCTCGGAATTGGTTATAATTATACAAACATTGCACACAACGGTGCATACACACTAATAGGAACTATATAAACACAAGCATATTGACATGTTGTTTAATTTATTATTAATTATAGCCTTTTATTCGTATATTGTTTATTTGTATGGCTTTTTATTTGTATGTTGTTTTTTATGTAACTATTAAATGTATAAAATATGTTATGGATAAAATATGGTAATTCTAATAGTTTAATAAGATATATAAGATTTTTGAAAATCACCATCGACTTTCTTGCGACCTCCACTTTGGGAACCACTGGTCTAGAAATAGACTACTCATCAATTAGACCTAAATGAATGAACGAATGACTAGTTAGTGGGCAGTCAAAACAACATCAAAATAGTCAAAAAACACATAAAAAATGCAAATCGATTTGATTCCAAAACCTTAATGCCAATTAGAAATCCACACACAGTATGGCTTTCTCAACACACAGCTGCAAACATTTTTTTGTGTGTTTAATAGCAACATAGACTAATTCTAAAAAACATAGCCCTTCATACATTTCTGGAGATTGCAAATTATGTAGCCAGAAGTGCATATGGCTGGATTTTGACTTTAAAACTAATGCTATAGAGCGGCATTACGCCGTTCCTTTTCGCGCTTACCAGCTGAGCACTTACAGTACCTCCGTATAGACGAGTTTCCCGGCTGTTGCCAGTTTGTCCAGTTAGCTTGCCATATACATTGGTGGACTTGAGATGCAGAGAGGAGTTAACCATGACGATGAGGTTCGAGTGCATCGAAGAACAGTTCCAAAATACAGGTAAAACAGAAACAGAAGTCAAAAAATAAATAAATAAATAAATAAATAACAGGGTGAGAATGTGGTAAAATCTGAAAACGATGTAAAAATAAGGCGAGGGCTTTTCTTTTTCTGGATTGCTTTTAAAACAGTTGGTTGGGTTTTAGGAAGTTGGTAGGCGGGTCAAGTGGTGCTTTTGAAAACAGTATTGGTTGGGTTTAGGGAAGGAGGAGGGTGGGTCAGTCAATTGGTCAGTCATTCAGTCAGTCAACCTGGCCCCTGGTGAATTTACGCTAGAACAGCAGGCATGTATGGTACTCGCAAGAGAAATTCGAGATCTGAAAAAGTATACACAAACACTGTCGGATTCATGAAAACAAAACTGCAAAAAAAAAAAAAAACATAGCTCCTGGGACATATTTGGTGGTACATTTTCAGAATGAGCCTGGGTTGTTTAATAGACATGTAATAGATAGATATCTAAACATAGATATCTTGGCTGAAACAAGCCTAAATTTGGGTTAACACTGAAAATTTATTAACAATAGTCTAAAAATAAACTACTCATCAAATAGACATGAATGAATGAATTAATGGATGGATGGATGGATGGATGAATGAATGAATGAATGAATGAATGAATGAATGACAATTTGACACCCACACACTGATGCCCTTTTGACCACTAAAACAACAACACAAAAAGTATTATGATATAAGAAAAAGGTTATTAATCTGTAGTCTTCAGTTACAAATGACAAATTTATACTAGATTTTGTAATCATATTGCATGTAAACTACCTTGATGTCAAAATTACATCAAATTGACCAAAAAAAAAACATGCCAAAAATCGCTTACAAGACTGTAATAATTCTTTTTTATTCTTTATTTAATGCCGGTGATAGAAATCAACAAACACCAAATCAAATGTTTTTGACATGGCATTTTTTATGTTGTTCCATTAGATAGCCTATTAAGAAGTCTATGTTTAGACATCTATTAGACATTTCTTAAACACAAAATTACCTGGTGGGAAAGTGCACACACATTAAAGGATGCTGAAAAATCCCAAGAGGGCCCCTTTAATAAACAGTTTAGATCAGATTCAGCATAAATAAAACTAGATACAACTACAAAATGCTTCTAAAATGAATTTATCTCTACTTCAGTCTTGCAGTACAAATGGGCTAACAAACCACATATGCCAAATGAACGATTCTGAATGCCAGCACTGAGAACATGAGCAGTTGTTCCATGTTAACAGTCCTTTCCTGCGGAGTAGGTCTAACTCCAACTTCCTTTTAGCAAAGGAAAGAGAGTTCATTAGTGGTAATGGGACATTAAGTACACTGTGTAGGTCAGAAAGAAGTCTCTGGGGTTCAGGCAAGCTTGCACCGTGGGCAATTAGAAAAGGTGATTACAATATAAGCCTGTTCAAAAACGTGCCAGGAATCGAAATATGCAAAACCCTTCGGAATGGCAAGAGCGAAGGCAACTCTTGAGAGGTGCTCTGTGAGCGTGCATACTTTAATTAGATTAAACGCTACTCTGTGAAGAGCCTAATAGAGCCTTTACATCACTTTATCTGACATGGCCATTATGTTGCCGTTTTCATTTTTCATTTATGTAAGCGGCTGTTTAGCCGATCTCATCTATATGATCCGTGCAAAATACAGGTCATTGAAAACAAACCACAGAATAGGAAATCACAGATAGTCTTTTGTCTCCCAGAGCTATGAGATTAAATTGATATAGATGATCTCCAGCTTTTAAAAAGATGAAGACCATTACTGATTATTAGTGAGGCTGATATATAGCTAAAACTAATTGATTAATTGATTTACTAATTATTCATGGGTTGTACGATAATACTAATAAAGAGATATTTCACCCAAAAATGAAAATTTATCCATTTACTCTTTCACAATTAGTTCAAACCTTTATAACTTTCTATTGAACACTAAATTAGATCTTTTAAAAAAAGCTGATAACCTGTGACCATATATGTCCATGGTAGGAAAAACAAATACACTGTAAAACCCAACAGTCAACTTTATCAAATGAATTGAGTGTTGTTTACTCAAAATTTACTCATTTGAAATGAGTTTTGAACTCAGTGTTGAAAGTAATGAGTTAATTAAACACCTCATTACTTCAACTTAAATAGAGTAAGTTCACAGTACTCAAATTCGTTTTTTTAACTCAAATGGTTTGTAGCAATCTGTTTCCTTAAATGGTTGGATTTGCCTTAAAGGGCCATGAAACCCCCTCGTTTCAGCAGGGTGTTTTCACACCTCTACTTTGGAAAAAGTCAGATAAGTGGGCGTGACCAGCTCTGTTTAGGGGGGAGTGTCGGAGGAACTAAAGTGGGAGGGTGTGGGAGTGTCTATTTGGGAACGTGCGAGTTTCAGAGTAAAAATACACAGACAGGAGAAAGTGGTGGTGTTTAACCTACATGGACATCTGTAGTCGAATTATTTGCCAAATTATTAAATGGTGGACTTTAACTGCAGTTTGGCTCTTTCATTCAGGGAATTCATTCATGCCCCTTGCGACAAACGAGATATTTGATTCGAGGAACTGCTCTAAGCGTGCATTTTTCATGCAATGTTTGATACCGCACGGCGAATGAGGGAAAAAAACCCTCCGCATTTCCCGGAAACTTAGATGCACACGGCAGGTAGCGTCAGAAAGCCGCGTGTGTTATTCCGGTCACTAAATGCGGTAAAAACCCTA